TCGAATAATAGTTGAAGGTACTGCTACTACCTTCAAAAAAGATCCTATACAATTTTTTTCTATTTTCAATACTTCAGGAGTAATCGATTAATTAGCTCGTTCATCGCCAATTATTCCATAACTAGTGGAGTTAGACTGAAATTGTATAGGACGTTTCTTGTATCTCACAATTGGAGCTACAATTTTTGTTGGAAGCATTTCTCGCTAGAATGAAAAAAACTATTTGCAATAAACATTTTTCTTTATTACTCTTCGACAAAACATTTAAGCTACAAAATCCTACACAAAGTAGGATACATATTTTAATGAATCTTGAGAGACGTATGTCAAATTGTGTTCGCTAACAAATTTTGAGATAAGAAAAATATCTGCTTTAGTTTTAATAATTGAATGAAAACAAATCTTAACACTTTCATTTCGCGATCCTGCTGAGCGTGAATCACAATAGTTCATAAACTGACAATTCTTTCATCTCGTCTATGATTTTATCTCGTTGTCCCAAATGTTTTTTTATTATCTCTGGCCACAATGTCTTACGTCTTATAACTTCTTCAATTTTATAAAACGTATAAATAATCGACTTTCTCTGGAATGAGAATAGGAAAGGCTAGAAGCAGTGGACTTGAATTTGCGCGCACAGTTGAACGGCACGGATCATTCGACTTTATCGAGACACAATCGAATGACATCGAGTTTTCTCGGAGAGGACAAAGATGATCGAGATGCTGCGATAGTAGACCGTTTCTCGAGATGATCTTCAGCCTCTCTCGATCCGGCTGTCATGTAGAACCAGCTGGTAGTTATTTCATCTTTCTATCTATGGACCGGTTTGTATTATTGCCCAAGTCTCTGTCACATCATGTCCATCCGATTATGATAATGTCAGAAGTGAAGAATAAAGGCAACTGCGATTAACGCGATTAGGATACTTCTAATTACGAAACGAATAAAATTTTTCAATAATTGATTCTTTAAATACTCGAGGATATTAAACTACATTTTATAATAGGTAACGATTTAAAAAAAGCATTTATGTACTAGATTACATATAATGTACAAAATTATATACTATTAAATGTTGATTGCTCTTGGAATCAAATTAAAATATAATTATTATCAACTGAATATTAATCACCCGAAGCAAAGGAGACTTGATCGATCTAACCAGTTCCAATAATCATCACTCATTTATTTTCTTATTGAGAAACCGTGGATTGAGAAAAGCGCGTGCATTTAATAGCACGATCGCCGAGAGCGGGAACGCGATACACGTAAAAAAATGAAATTAATATTAGAAAACGGGAAACGCGGTAAAAAATGCGTTTTCCGTTACGTGTCGGTAGAAACGCGGCGGGTCGATGTTGTCGCATTTGTTCGTCACTCACTTTCGCGTTTCCATCGTAATAGGATAGCATTTACGTTAAGGAGGTTCGTTGATAGTTATAGTAATTGATGCCTTCGTAGGTGTATGCAAGTACGCATATACACACTGTATGTACATTCGGTTTCGGTGCATCATACGTCCATGAGATATTCATAGAAAGTTCCACTTCTACTCTAAGTACTCGTGAACTTCGGTAAAGTCAATATGAAATACGTAGCGATCGAACATGAATTGTGTCTCATTGTTAAAACTTGACATACTTTTAATAAAATTGTAATTATTTGATTTACTCAATTCTCATCTCGCTGTTTTTAAAAATGTTTATCTTGAAATCAAAGCCAGGTTAATGCAATTTTACTGTAATAATGGGGTGTCTTCTGCAATGTAACAGAACTCAGTATTTGGTAGAAATCCTGAATGCAAGAAAGACGTCAGCGAGTACGACTGGCATGTGAGTCAGTTCTTTGACTGGTACCGAGGTCCGCGTCTCGACTCGCCCCTCATCCAGTTTCATGAAACGTGGACCACTTCGAGATGATCTTCAGCTTCGTGTTACCAGGTTTTCATAACGCGGGACGTAATCTTTAATCTGGACCACTTCTCTCTTATCCCTCTGACTGCTTGTTCCACGTTTTCGTCCACGCTACCTCCGCCGAGTCATTCGCTCTTCGTGTCTGTTTCTCGATCGCCGAGAACTCGTTTGCCTTGAGGAGACGACGCGGTTGCCGTCGTCGTTGTCTTATTTATCGGATCCACGGGTCTCGTCGGCAGACGAAAGGAGGAATGTGGGAACAGCGGTTTATGCAACCGAGAAAGTATGACCGTGTGAAAAACCCTGGGTATTCCCTCTTCAGGGCTGGGAGTCCGATCAAATGGGCTTCGATTTGGGATGGCTCGAGGCTTTTTACAACAGGAGAACAGGAACCACTCTGTGTAGCCTCGTCCAAGGGTTGTTTTTCTATACCTCTCTTCAATTTTTTTTACAAACAATTGTTATATAAAAAGTCTTGGTTTAAAGTATGGCGAACTGTATGTTTAAAATGAAGCTACGTTTTTAGGGGAAGATTGTAGATCAAGTAGTTTAAATTAACGACTATAATCGAGACGTATGAATAAAAATGCTTCACGCTTGATATACAAGTTTACATCGACGATATAAGTGCAAGTATACCCTTCAAGTAGTTTAGCCACTGATATACATTAGTCTTCCCAGTTTCCCTCATATGATTAACTAAAATAATATTTAATTTATGTTTCATCTACAATTTCTGACTATCTCACAAACCCTTTATTTTGAAATCATTATTAAAAACTAAAATTAAGTGCTAAGTGATAAAGATTCGCCTCATTAGGAGATATCGTCAGCTGCGCATCAACCTGTTTCATTGCTCATTTACAGTAAAGGGTGAGAAGCGTAGGGAAACGTGTCAGAGACGAGACTGATTTCTTTTAAAAATTCGTCAACATAAAATACGTGAGACGTATGCGTCGGGGTATGCACGTGTAAATATGCGCGCGACGGGGGTGGCCTCGGTGGCGGTGGCGCTGTCAGCCATCATCGGCGGAGATCGATAACCCGTTGGTAGATTTGTGT